TACATTTGCTGTTATGTTAAACTTATATTAAAGTTTTTCTTCATTACCCATTCAAGCCGTCTCCAGCCATTATTAGTCTCAAAGTGGGTTCCTCGTTATCGAATTATCCTAGTATTATTCTGAACAGTTCTGTATTACTCTTATCCTTCGTAAAGGTTAATTGTTGGCAGGGAGCAGTTGTAGTTTCAATTTCTAAGATGGTAAGAAATTGAAAATTTTTGCAAAAGACATTTCCCACATCTTCAGCACGTTTTTGTGACCTTTGACCTCATATCAAATAAATATCTGTTAGATAACACTTTTGCATATTGTTAGGAAATTTTCTAATCTTAATATTACTCATGGCAGCACAGTAAAGTAAAATTAAAATTTACTTAAGTTGATCTTAGTTTTGATTTTAAAACGTTTTATAAAATCTGATATAATAAATTTATTTGTAAGTATTCATTTATGTCAGCAGTTTAGTTATTTTTGCCCTCAATCTTTAAAACTTGTCTTTCCTCCTTTTCTTTAAACTAATATTTTAATATTCTTGGTATTGTTGCATAGTATAAAGGTATCAAACTTGTTGTTCATTTTGGTTTTTAAGGCTTTAATACAGGAAGGGTGTTCATTGTGCCTGAAATATTATGCAACTAAAAAGTAGGATTCTTTGTTGTAAAAAATATTATGCTGTGTCATTTATTGTTTGCATATATATATAAACACACGCAGATTATTGTGATATTTCTTTCATTTTATGATTCAAATAATATATGAACTTTTGAGTACAATTACTTAACAGAAGACTGATTTTAATTATTAAGTGTGTGTTTGTCTACAAATTGCAGACTTTCTTGACGCATTGGAATTCTAATGCAAGATTTTTGACTTAACTAAATTTTTGTTTTTCTCAGGATATGAAAATAGATCATCCAAGGTGAAAATTCTTCATTTAAGACCTATTACCTTTATTTTCCTGCTGAAAGTCTTTTCAGTTTTTTTTTTAATTTCTGGTGCTTAAGGTGAAAGATTTTATAAATACAGCAATATTAAAATACATAAATGGAATTAATTTGAAAACCAGATATTTTTATATCAATAAAAATATCAGTTACACGTTTTTATTTCAGAGTTATTTACAGCACCCTCTTTGAAGCTGTAGCTATAATTGACATGTTTCCAGCTTACTACATTTTTAATGGTTTGCTCTGTGGTCTTCAAATTCTTCACCTAGTCTGGAGTTGGATGATTTTGAGAATTGCTTTTCAAGCAGTCAGCAAAGGAGTAGGTTTACATTTTTGAACTTTGGCAGATTAATAATCTATTTATTTACAATTAAAAGGAATACAGTGTTAAAATCATTACATAATAAAATAGTTAATAAAAACAGGGACTAGATATGTATTAGTGTTCTATGACACCATCTTCAGGAGTAATTATAGAGGCATTGTTAGGACTTGTATACCATTTACATATCTGGTATGTAAATGATTATGTTGGTTTACAAGTCCAAACCAAACAATCTAGTATTATTATTATTTGTCTAAAAATATGTTGTTTCTTATTTAGAATAATTTTGAATGTGGACCCATTTGTTATCTACTTAGAAATAAATGTTTACCAAAAATAAAACGGTTTCAGTATTTTTTTTATATCTGAAACAAGGATTAAATTTTACAAATTTATTTTTATTTTTCATACATTTGTTTTTCTGTAGTAACATGGTATGTATGATACTGTATCTGTCTAAACAAAAACAAAAAACATCCTGCTGTTGAGGTAAGTTGTATTGTGTAGTTCATGAATTAAATGATACTTCATGCATGAAATATGTTTTCCCAAGCTTGTGAAAAAAGTGTTTGGCCAATCTAGCATAGAAGTAAAATATCTTGTATGTTATACATGGAAAAGTGTAGTTTTCTATGTATTAGTGATAATAAGCTGATCTCTTGTCAGTTTTTGCTTGACTTACTTGAAATGTGGTAGCTTTTGTTAATTTTAAGTCATTCCACTTGTGAAAAGTTCATGCACCACATTAAACATTTCAGTTAATGATGAGTGATCTTGTGTAAAAATAACAAATGTTTAGTTTTTCATTCTCAAGAATAACTTCCAAAATAAACCATTAAATCCTTTTTCATATGATTTCTAGCTATTTACAGCAGATGATGTGCAGTGGAACTAATGAAATATAGATAGTTTTTGTTTCATGTTCCAGGTGAAGGACCTCCGTAGTGATGCTAGCAGTGAATCTAGCTCCAGTGAAACTATTTCCCATAAACACAAGTCTCACAAGTCCTGAAAGAAGACACAAAGCTCAGAGGCAGCTGTGCAGTTTAAAAAATTAGCTTTTTTGTCATTCCACATTTTATTCTATACTATAAATTTCTTTCCCAGTCTGCTGTATCAAAATAAGCCAGACTCTTTAACCCTCAGGTCTTTCCAGTGAAATAAATATATATATATATATATATACACACACGTACATATATACCATTTTTTGTGTTGTGGTACACTCTTGTTCAATTTCATCTTTTATGGTAGCTTACTTGTTTATGATTGATATGTTATAACCTTAAATGAAGCTGTATCAAATGTATGCTGTATGTTTGTGTGTCATTTTCTAGCATTTTTTCTGCATTTTACACTTTTATCTGCTTGTTCTTGTATAACAAGGTCAATATTAATAATTCTTAGTGCATTGTTTGTGACTATTTGTTGTAGTTTTTAAGATATGAAATGATCTGTATCAGATATGGAAAGACAAGGTTTTATATGAAATTAATCTGTCTTTGACTCCAGTGATTTATATGGAAAAGCTGCAACATTTAAAAAACAAAAGCTGGAATATATGCTTTCTGTTTGATTTGTATGCATGTTTTTATGAAAACAGAATAGAAGAAATCAATTTGCATAAGTAAGTAAGGTGAAACAAATACTTTAGACAAACTTGGATGTTGTAACTCTGTGATTTAAAACTGTTAATTTTGCGTTCATTCCTGATATGTGTTCATTATGTTATGCAAAAAAATCCCCTTTTTTCTATAAATATTAATTTACCTTGCACCTCTGTGTCTATGATTCTATAATAGAATCACAAATAAATTATTAATTTATGTTTTGAAACCATACTTTTATGTAAAAAATTTAGTGCCATTATCCTGATTTGTGACCAACATCTACCATACTCATTCAATTAAAGCTGTTAAGAAAATAAAATAACATTTATACATATAACAGATTTGAAAAAACGTTGATCTTTACGTGATTAATATTTTCATCAGATGTTTACAACTAGAGGTTTCAGTTATACTTGCTATCTAAACATACTATTGTGCCATTGAATGTATTTTAGATCAATAATATTTTATGAAATGCATGTTGAGTCTTAGCATCATTATTTGATTTATTTTGTTCCATATAAAGAACAGTTATATAAAGGTTATATAACACTATTCTTCCCAAACATGTATACTCATTGGTGAAAGTTCTTCATCTGCAAATGGAAATCTGTCAAAGTGGCCTTTCCCAGACATGATTACAAAGTATGATTTAAATCTAATGTGGAATAAACATGTTTTACGTTTTACTCCCAATAACACTATTTTAATACTTATTGGTGTAAACTTCCAACCATTTTCATTTGTACAAGAAATGGGTCATAACTGGTTAATTCAGTGATATATTTTTTCATGTGCAACTGATACTTTAAAGATTAATTGGGCATAAATGTAAAACATTTGAGTATTAATGTTTAAAACATTATCTAGTCTTCTGTGGTTATCAGGTTGGTCCACCTGGTAGCATGATTCCCGAATTATTAATTTTTCTACAAACTTAAGTTAAATTTCGATTCTAAAAGTTTTACAAAATGGCTCAGAATGTATATGAGAACATGAACAACACCAGAGCTATCTAATCCCCTAAAGCCCCAGCCAATAAATTTATTTCAATCGAAATTATCATTGTACACATTCACCCATATACTGCTTGAATTCAGTATTGTTTTTCCATGTCCTAAGTAATAACTGTACAGTACAAGTTTTAGTATAGTTATCATAGTATTCCATATCTTATTCACTGAAGAGACACTGTAATCATTCTTTTTATGTCAGCAAATCCTCTGCCCAACACAGTACATTGTTTAGGTGTACTTTATCTCATATTTATCAGTGTTGCATGTGTGCTCTACTTCCAGGTATATATTAGTAACCTTGACACTGTTCCAATATGGAAAAAAACAATTTGCCACACAAGATATCTGCCAAATATTCTTGTGTAGGTTTTTGGCCAATATCCTATGTGTATATTTTTGAGATTTGTTTAAGTCTATGCATGATTGGTGAATTGCTCCTTTTCACTTGTCATGTACAAAAAAAAAAGTATGGACTTTTTATAATCTCAGTATCAGTTTCTTAACATATTATGCTTAGATAGACAGTCCAGACCTTAGTATTTACTAAACCAGTGAAGGTTATGAATGAATAATAAGGGTGGCATTCTAACATCCAATGTCTTTATTTTGTAAAGCTAAATTATCTTCATTGCAATGGCAGGTAATTTTACACAGGTTTAATTCAATATAGTGTTTTTTTGTACAACATTATGTTCTGCTACTGTAATAAAATATTTTATAGTTACAGTATCATAAAATGTGCTTTTACAATTACTGCAATTTTTATAGCATGGTATGCTAATTTTATTTATTTTTCAAGTATTTTTGATATATTACCCTTTTTTACAACCACTCTTCCCATTATGACAGTATTAAGATACTATATTAAAAATAGTGGTACAATAGTGTGTGTGTGTGTGTTATAATGAACTACAAATACATGTAAATTTGAGTGTTTATGTTAATTTGTACAAGCAAGGTTCATGTAATGAGTTATGTTCAGTGCTTGTGATTAGTTGATTATTAACCAAATACTCAGTTATCAGGTCTCAGATTAGAGAATTGAAATGTTTATGATGAAATTAATTTAAAGTTTTTATTATTAATAATTTATAGAAATTTTTTCAAAGGGCTGTTTCAATTTCTAAGGAAAAGCAGTGTAAACAACCAGGGGTATTTTATTAAATTTAGTTTAAGTTTATGATTTTGTGTTTGAATTATTTTAGTTTTCTTTATTTAGTAACAGGTATAATTTTTTATTTGGCTTAAAATCAGCCATCATTTTTTGAATTTTTTTCAACATTGATACTTCTTGGGTTAAATAGTAATGACACTTATAACCAGTAGGTATATACAATTTAGTGTAAAGTTTGTGGATAATACAGTTATGCAGTGACAGGTTTTTGTTAAAACTGAGTATATAATGTTATCCTTTGAATCAGTTTTTTTTTAAATCTAGGTAACCTTATTAATGATATGATGTGATTATTCTGATTGTACACCTTTAACTACTTTTAAGATTGTACAGATAAAGTTAATTTTACAGTAACTATTCAGTTTTTAGCCAATGAAGTGTGTTGTAAAAAATTAATGAATTATACATCAGTTATTCAATTTATTTTTATTGTATCAAAGGCATTTCAAACTATTTGATGTATCAATTACTTCATTATAATTCCTCTTGTTTAGATGTCTTTAAGCAGTCCATCATTTTCATCATTGTGGGGGGAGGGGATAGCAAACAGTAGATATCTTCAACAGTAAAAAGATATTTAGCCTTCTTTACGTCACCCATAAAAACATGGAGGTATCAGTTTGATGAAAACACGAAATAAAAGACCTTTTCACGTGAAATTGAGACATTTATTTTTCACAAAACACTCTTATATAAGTGTAATGTATCATAATAGATTGTCATTTCTTTCAATTGTAGAATAAGTGCAATACAATTTTATAATCTGTATGGTACAGAAGTTGATAAGAGTTGAATTTTGCCATCCAAATTTAACAATTTGTATCAACAATTTGTGCGTGAAAAACAAAGTATATTAATTGTTGGAAAAGAACTGCATCCTATGTGATTGAATAATGTTCAAAGTGAATTTCAGTGAAAAAATTATTGCTACATGATTCATTTAATTCTTTAACATTTGTTGCAATAAAGGTAAAATGTTTCCTGTTTTCGTAATTATTCCTTAGTCTTTCAGAGGATTGGTATAGAGTTTAAATTGAGTGTCCCCACTATCTCAGCATATGTATGTATTGGAAATAATGTGCTTTACACTAAGACTTTCTTAAGAAAAAAAATTGTATGTGTATTGTAATTTTAATGTTCTTTTTGTGTAATTAACATATAAAAACATTTTAGTGCTTTTTCAGAATTTTTATTGACTAGACATCTTTTGGCAAGTAAAGAATTTAAATCTTTTGAAATGTGTGTTTGATATTGTTTCACAGTCAGATTTGTTTCTAGCATACATGAGTTATTGTCTCAAACTAGCTTGAATTCTTTATTTCTGATTCACCATTTACTCTTGTTTTTGTTAAAAGATTTTATTAGTTGGCTTCTTATCAAGCGTGTATTATTATTATTATCACTATATATATTCTGTGAAATAAAATTAATTGAAGCCCTTAATTTGTCGTGATTCTATACAATGAATATACATTACCTTAGGTTATAACTTCTATGTGAAAGTACAAATTTCAATATTTTTAGAGAAAACCTTTCTCTTTTAACATATTTTATAAAAAGCTAATATATGTATAAAAATATCACTTTGAACAATGTGATTTCTTCTTTTTTTATATAAAACTGACTTTTGATCAAACAATTGTGTTTGATAAAACTAAGACTGTTTCACTGAAGTTTTTAAATTGAAAGGAAAAATCTAATGGAAATTAATTGAAATTAATTTGAATTGAAAACATATTTAAAATATATTTTGAAAAACTTGTATCCCCCTGTTGGACAGCGGTAAGTCTACGGACTTGTAACCTGAAATCCAGGGGTCGATTCCTCGAGGTGGATACAGCATATAGCCCAATGTGGCTTTACTCTAAAATAAACAAACAAAAATTATTATAAAACAAAACCACATACAAGCCTAATAACGATAATTTAATCTCAGTTGGGGTCTGGTGATCAATTTCCCGTTAATTATTATTCACTTTTTCAAAACTAAATTGTCCTTCACTTACAGGTTCATTATATTCACAAAGCATATGGAACTCAATGCTTCAACCCCATCGTCTGGGGTATCCTTTACTGAGCATGACACAAGGTTTCAGTGCCTTACATTCAAAATTATATTAAACTACTTTTTGTTTAAGTTATACCAATTAGAATAACATAAAATCTTAGCTAATAATCCATATTTTTATAGTATACATGTTTTAAATTCTACAAGGCGATATTTAAAAACATCCTGAATTTCCACTGGTGTGACACATTTTTTCTTAGCATGTCATCATCCCTATTTTATCCATCACTCCTCAGAAACTTACTAAATTAAACGTAAATTACTCTCTATAAAATCGTTATTGTTCAGACAAACCATATTTTGTTATAGTCTTCAATTTTGTTTAGTTACAGAGCAATCCAATAGAAAATCAGACCCCTCCTGTCAGATGCTCTCTTTCATAATTCGTTGATAGTTCTCTCACGTTTTATTATATATTACCTATAACCAATAGAAAATCAAGGTTTTCATTCATCAAATGACGTATTGTATAACCTTATATTCTGAACAGTTAGAAATAAATTTTATTCAGAGTGGTAACATCTTTCCTGTGGGAAAGTTAACAACTAGCTTTGATGAATTTGTAATAACTCGTGTCATACAGTTAGAAAGCCAGAAACATTTTGAGAGGTAAGGGAATTTGTCTACTTTTTGCATGTTATTAGTCTATATTCTTTGGTGCGTTATTTAATTAAATAACAATATTAAGTGCATTACTATTAGTACTGTAAAAAATTAAGCTTAACTGTCATCGACAATCGAGAGCAAGAAAAAAGGAGATTGGGTAAGTATCTTATTTCTTGTTTTTCATATTATTCTTTATTTACTATTATAATAAAAGTAACTAAAATCTAAAAATACGGATCTTTTTAAGTTATTTAAGACTAGATTAGGTAACATAAGTAATAATAATAATATAATTAAAATGTTTCACCAAGCACGCACGCGAGCAGTTAGTAGTAGCTGGTGGGTAATGTAATTCAATAGCTAACGTGACCAGCACGTTCTCCGAGTAATTTACAACTTTTTATGCTGCAGATTGTAGTTAGACACAGTTCAAAGGGCAATAAAATTTAATTATAGATAGATGTATAATGTTACGAACTTAGACCTACTTATAATAAAGTAGTTTCATGTTACAACTTGAAGTCATTCTAGAAAGAAAAAAAGGTAATTTAGGTTTAATTCGATTTTTTTTGGTGGTTAGGAGGTCCAATTGACCTATCCCGTTTTGAGATAGAGTAGAGAAAATAACAGATAAACTATAAAGTTTTACTGAAAATAAAACGTTTGAAATGCATTTAGGAAATTTTAGGGATTACACAAAGGAAATTTGACATGAGGAAACGTATTTTTAATTTTAACCTGAAAATTACTTTGCACACCCACTATTCAAAATAAATACTCAATATATTCATCGACAAATCTTTAATTTATTAAAAATACGCCACTTAAAATATGATTTTTTTATATGTAAAATACTTGTAATTTAACTGAAAGACTGCCAAATTTCGTGAAGATATACAACTATACTGAGAGTTATAAGTATTAAATCTATAAA